TGACCAATTCAATGAAGGTCACAATGGCTATCAGGGTGATTTAACAGTAGCTCATCTAGTGATGTTCCAGGCTGGTATTTCCTTCCCAGTTAGGAAAGGGGGAGAAGACTGGCCACTCTGTACGTATTCACACCCTTCCTCAGTAAACCAGGACACTGAACATCTGCAGCTCTGCAGAGGAGACGTGCAATCAAGTCTCATGGTCTAGAAGCATTTCCCCTCCCCAGTCATCCAAAAAACCTTCTAATTTCCACCTGTGTGTTTGGAAGCAGCAGACGTGGAAGACTGGCTGGTGAATTAACCAGAAACTGTCGAGAGATGCCTCTTGCACACCTGGCTCGTATGACTTCTGCCTTGGTTTGAGACAACCCAGAGTGACAATTCCCCTCTCCTCACACAGACCTCCTCACATTCAACTCAACTCCTCCTCAGGATGGTCCCTGTCTGAGCCAAAAGAACCCAATCTGTAAAAATTTCCCACCCCCTGAACACAAATACTGTTTTTCACAGGTATGAGATGACATATTGACCAAGTCAACGAAGGTCACAATGGTTATCAGAGTAATTTAACAGTAGCTCATCTAGTGATGTTCCAGGCTGGTATTTCCTTCCCAGTTAGGAAAGGGGGAGAAGACTGGCCACTCTGTACGTATTCACACCCTTCCTCAGTAAACCAGGACACTGAACATCTGCAGCTCTGCAGAGGAGACGTGCAATCAAGTCTCATGGTCTAGAAGCATTTCCCCTCCCCAGTCATCCAAAAAACCTTCTAATTTCCACCTGTGTGTTTGGAAGCAGCAGACGTGGAAGACTGGCTGGTGAATTAACCAGAAACTGTCGAGAGATGCCTCTTGCACACCTGGCTCGTATGACTTCTGCCTTGGTTTGAGACAACCCAGAGTGACAATTCCCCTCTCCTCACACAGCGGGCAGACCTCCTCACATTCAACTCTAGCATCAAGCTGCTGAGATCTGATTATCTACACACTTCTTTGACTCCAAAGATCTTAAAACGTATGTGATTTTTTTACCCTTTTTAGATGTTTGTGTTGTGCTGCACCCTTGAAATTAGTATTTTGCTCTTTCAGGGGGTTGCCTAACACCACAGGCAGCTGTAATTTAGATTCCAATAGCTCCTAAATGGACTTGTCTTATAAAGAGCAGATAAGCTCAGCCTCTTCTGACCTTAAATTCCATGAAAACTATCGTCATTCAACTCTCAGGTTTGGTTCCTCCTCAGGATGGTCCCTGTCTGAGCCAAAAGAACCCAATCTGTAAAAATTTCCCACCCCCTGAACACAAATACTGTTTTTCACAGGTATGAGATGACATATTGACCAAGTCAACGAAGGTCACAATGGTTATCAGAGTAATTTAACAGTAGCTCATCTAGTGATGTTCCAGGCTGGTATTTCCTTCCCAGTTAGGAAAGGGGGAGAAGACTGGCCACTCTGTACGTATTCACACCCTTCCTCAGTAAACCAGGACACTGAACATCTGCAGCTCTGCAGAGGAGACGTGCAATCAAGTCTCATGGTCTAGAAGCATTTCCCCTCCCCAGTCATCCAAAAAACCTTCTAATTTCCACCTGTGTGTTTGGAAGCAGCAGACGTGGAAGACTGGCTGGTGAATTAACCAGAAACTGTCGAGAGATGCCTCTTGCACACCTGGCTCGTATGACTTCTGCCTTGGTTTGAGACAACCCAGAGTGACAATTCCCCTCTCCTCACACAGCGGGCAGACCTCCTCACATTCAACTCTAGCATCAAGCTGCTGAGATCTGATTATCTACACACTTCTTTGACTCCAAAGATCTTAAAACGTATGTGATTTTTTTACCCTTTTTAGATGTTTGTGTTGTGCTGCACCCTTGAAATTAGTATTTTGCTCTTTCAGGGGGTTGCCTAACACCACAGGCAGCTGTAATTTAGATTCCAATAGCTCCTAAATGGACTTGTCTTATAAAGAGCAGATAAGCTCAGCCTCTTCTGACCTTAAATTCCATGAAAACTATCACACACCCATCAAAAAGCAGTAGTGGAAAGGCACCCTAACCACGTAATTAGAACATACACCTCAGCTGGCAACAGCAAATGGCACTGAGTAATGAAGATCTGTACTTATAGCTGCAAGAGGATTGTCTGGGAGCCTTCCTAAGCCCAGTGACAGAAATCAGTGCAGAGGGACAACACTCAACCTTGGCCAGTGCTGAAGGAGGCTGGGCTGCTCTCCCTCCCATTAAACTCAGCAGAATTTCTTCAGGGATTTAATGAGCCATACTGTATGCTGCACAGCTCAAAATCTTTCTTTAGGTTCAGACTGACCTTCCTGCCTTGACATCATTTCTAAATGTCCTCCCCCTTCCCCCTTTTTTTTTTTTTTTTCCCTGTGAGTACATCTATGGCAGGTCTTTTCTTCAGATGATCTTCTTCATGCTGGTCTCCAAGACAGCCATTCTGCTCTGGCTGAAGGCTGGATGAAGCCCATTGCCTACTCTTAACATTCTCAATGATTCTTCATATTCTTTCTTAATTTTCTCCAGGAGACAAAGTTTGAATTGCACAATACATCATTACCTTTTTGAGGGAAAAAAAAAGATATGTACGAAGACCCACTTAATACCAAGAAACAGATGGAAATACCTGTTGCATCCATCTTCCAGAAGAACAGTTTAATGCAGAACAAATATGAAACCTGCTTGTGGAGGAACTCCACGCAGAAAGGCTGACAGGACTGAGTCCAACAGGCCAAGGCAGCAAAACAACAGCACTGTGTGAGATCAGGGGACTCCCAAAGAGTTTGACCCAGATTGAGAATTAGCCATGCAAAACCAAACCAAGTTCCACCTTGGTTCTTCAGGCAGGAAACAGAGCACTGAAGGAGGGTCTCTGTCACCCTGTCTCTTACACATGATCTCTGACAACATAAACTAAGACTCCAATTTCACCTGGATGAAGCCTACAGGAAGATGACGCTATGAAATACAGTCAAAGAAATGACTTTTTACCTTCCACAGATTTAATCTTTGCCCCACTAAGCTGAATAGGAATTTCTCTGGACTGCACTGGATGCAGGATCTTGCCCTACACACAAACTCATGCTTCAAGACGGCCTACGTAAGAAGGTACTAAAAGCAAAAGGTTTAGGAAGGTTGCCTTGGCGTATCTGCATAAAGCACAATAATTACCATGTTGAAGTAAGACCGGATTTTGACCCCTCTTGCCAAATCCCAAACGATGACATTTCCATCGTGTCCAGCAGAGAAGAGAACTCTTGGATCAAACGGATGAGGTTCAAGTACAAACACTTCATCTTCATGGCCCTAAAATTAAAGA